TGCCACACCACAAATAAGGTTTTGCAGCTGGAACCCCCCCTGGAAACAAATACAATCTTCTCAAGACAAAGTCATGCATCCCCAGATGAAATATAATTTGTAGTAGCGAAGATAGTTTTCCAACTCACAGGCGAGTGATAACAGCTTCCACCTCAGAAGGGGCATATAGATGATAAGTTGGAGCTACCTTGGCGATGTCAACGTTATTGGGAGTAACCTGCAATGAGTAACACGGTTAGGTAAGGGAGAACAGGACATAATTCTAAGGGGACATACAGTCAAAGGATCTGTATACCTTCTCTTCCATTACTTGCTTCAGAATGGAGAGAGCAATTGTCTCGGCTTCTTGTAGAGTTAGTTCCTGCAGCAAAAAGATCCAATCATCAGCAGCACTCATCTTGGCATCATTAACTTTTCAAGTTGACGAATCTGCCCATGGCTCACAACTTGCAGGAAAGCACACAAAACAAGTAGAGATACCTTGTTATACTGCTCCTGCAAAGAGCTGTCTGCACCTTCTGAACCTGAACCAATAGCTTTTGCATTGCATTGCCAAAATGTGCCAGAAGGATCCGTGTAGTATCTGCAAAACATTGGTTTTGGACAGGTAAGTGGAACATACATTGGGGAACATGCCAGAAGGATCCATGTAGGATCTGCATGTACCTTTAATTACAGGTGTAATGCTTTGTGCATCATTGGTGCATATCTATGACAAATGCAATCCAGCTATCCTAGTGCTACCCCAATAACAAACAAGAAGAAAATGCAGTATCCACAAACCATAGAAGTGGTAAAGTCAAGAAGATTAAATCATCTACCTAATTCAGGCAAGATGGTTCCCATAAAAACATGATAACGATAATTATTTGCTCACTGCCCAATGCATAACCATTACAAACAAGAATATTAGGTTCTCATTCATACATTGACAGGTCAGGAATCAACAAATAAAAGCAAATAGTACATTAGTAAACAGTGTAAAAAACAGGCTTAAAAAATTATCTAAGAAATTAACCATGGCAAGCTAAAAGAAATACATATACTGAAACTGCCACTTACAAGCTGGGTCCATGCTCATCATGACCAGCAATGAGAAGAGAAACCCCAAATGGTCGAGACTGCAAACAAAACAAAACATTACCATAAACAAGCTTTTCAAAAGAGCAAAATATTAACATATAAATAAATTAAGATGCAATTATAAAGGATGCCAACCCATGCATCAAACCTACTAATAAATTAGAAACTAAAATAATCTAGAAAACTCATACCACCTTTATAACTTAATTAAAATGATTTTGTGAAGGCAAGAAACATTGCATTAATAGCATCCCAAGGAGCAACTTCACAATTTCATGCTCTTTTAAATGCAAAATTATACTTAGAATCTCCTAGGTTTGATTATAATAAAATTTTATAAAC